TTTGCTTTATTATAGAGACTTTCAGCCTGTAGCTGGTTCGTCTCTTAGCCGTAAATTGTAAATAAATTGAGACTTTGAACATTTTGCTCTGCGCCTCAATTTTCATTGTAATAACAATTGGAATCTAAAATCTTCTTAGTAAATTGGTAAGGTTGTTGCCATACATCGATTTAGAAAAATGAGTACAGAGGAAGGAAATGGACAATGCACTTGCTTATTGAATTTATAAAATTATTATTGGATTGCCTAATAAATCCTTAAACCATTATTTGTTTTATTTCAGAAGAGCATGAAAAATGCTCATGATGTGTTGTGTTCGTAAGTTTGTCGTCAACGAAATATTTGAACATTTAATAAATGTCACTATTAGTCACTTTTTATTGTTTTAAAGTCACTATTTGGTAACTATTTTCGTTAGTTTAGTCACTAAACTCGATATAACGTAACTGTCACTTTTGACTTCCATTGCCGATTTCTCGCAAACGAGCATTATGAGATAATCCCCCATCTATTGGTAATATTAATTTGTATGGTTCAATTGTTATTAGGGGATGGAAGTCAAAAGTTACAGTTACGTTATATCGAGGTATACCTGTATTATATTACACACACTACCAGCCCTGATATATAGGGGTTACTAAAAATAACTAGGATAGGCAAAATTTTGGTCAACTTTGGAGTGTTGTAACTTCGGCAAATATGATCCGATTTTAAATCTTCCAATAGCATTTGAATGGAAAACTAATATTGTTTTACGGTGTAGCCACGAAAATAATCCTGGTCACCGCGTACCGGAGAAATTCCGGGTTTTCGGAGGGCTTGTCTAACTTGCTAAATTTTTGGTGAAATTTTATATATGATGCTGATTAAATATATATATATTTTTAGTAAATACAACGAAAGAAGAACCATTTCTAAAGCGAATCATATGCCAAGAACTAAAATCGGCTTATAATCAACCGTGATATGGTCATTTCCCTGGAATCGGTTCTGGTGAAGGGTTCTGAATGCGGGTAGATCATTTAATCACTCAAAACAGCTCTTTCTTCATGGTTTCTCGTCAATAGACTTTCGATAAACTTTAAATGCATCATTGACCACATTGGTCACTCTCGGAACATCCAGTATGCCTCCGGGGGAACCTGGAGCAGGGGACAATTGCATTTTTACACCAAAACATGCCGTGCGACAGCTCATTCTTCATGATTTTTCATGATAGGCATTCATCTTATAGAACTAAAGACTGGACTCGGAAAAAATGTGACACATTTTTCAAAAATTCATGAGACAAATTTTTCAAAATTCATTTTAAAACGCATACTTCTCAAATTTTCAGGGATTAAATAACTATATATGAGCTATGTTTTGGCATAATTTATTTATTGAATTTCCTCCCCCAAGCTGAATGGTCGTAAATTTCTCTTAACACTGCTCATGAGATCTTGGGCGAGGCTTTGCCCATCTTCCTTACACAATTTCTCCCAGTTTTTCTTCAAAGCTTCATCGGATTTGAATGTTTTTCCGCTTTTCTTTAACTTCTTCTTTATTATCGCCCAAAACTTTTCGGTCGGACGAAGTTCTGGTGTATTTGGCGGGTTCGCCTCCTTCGGGACCACATTAACGCCCTTCGCTTCGTACCAATCCATTACAGGCTTGGCGTAATGGCACGAAGCGTGATCCGGCCAGAACAGCGTGGGACCACGGTGAGAGCGGAGGAAGGGCAGCAAGCGCTTCTGCAAGCATTCATCTCGATAAATCTGCCCGTTTATGGTGCCGGTTGTAACGAACGGCTTGCTGTACCGTCCGCACTCGCAGATCGCCTGCCACAACAGGTACTTCTTCGCGAATTTGTCACTCTTTCACTTCCGGAACTTTTCCGGAACCTCCATGCGGGACGTACCGACAAAAAACTCGAGGCCGGGGATTTGTTTGGTGTCCGCCTTGATGTATGTCTCGTCGTCCATGACGAGACAGCCTAGCTTGACCAGCCACTCACGGTACAGCTTCCGCGCACGCAATTTGGCCACCGTGTTTTGCTTGTCAGTCCGGTTTGGCGCCTTCCTGACCTTGGACGAACCACTTCGACGAATTGACCTTTTTGGCCACGTCTCGGGTGGAAAGGTTCGGATTATTCTTAAAGTACTGCCTTATCTTCCGCGCCTTCTCTGGGTTTATGCCGTTTTCGTGCTTCCAGCGCGTCGCTCGATGGTCTTCGTCTCCTGGAACATCTTCACAACGCGGGACACAGTGGAATGGTGGATTCCAAGCCTTTTGCCGATCCATCTGTGTGACTGACCATGATTTGCTGCTTGTTTCGAATGCATCTTGAAAACTACTTGACAGAATTTTGCACACATATACATAACACTCTAAACTAGTATTACCCAAAATTTCATTAATTTTTACCCACGCGATAAAAAGTTACACCCAAAACAAAGTGTCGCATTTTTTCCGAGTCCAGTCTTTAGAAATAATGTTGTTGGCTGTGCTAAAATTTCTATTAGTGTAAATTGGTTTTCAAAAATATTGAAATACTGCTCAGGATATTTAGAATTGATATCAACACTACTATCAACAAATTCGCAAGTACATATGAGGAGTCGTAAACATATTTAGTTTATTCTGTTTAAATGTGTATTAAAATAAATGCAGGTTAGAGAAATAAATTTAAACGGCAAAGAATTGTCGCAAGTACCTATTTTTATTCCATGTGTGCTAGAATTTGAAAATTGATATCAAATCATAGAGGTCCCCGCAATAAATAATAGACCAGGGGCCCAAGGATTGGTAAAGCAGCCCTGCATACAAATAATTCTGTCCACATAGGAGCTCTTAAGTTATTATGGATGTTTGCGTTTTGTTTTCCCAGTGTGCCCTGGGTTGAGATTTATTTTTCTTTTCATTAGTCTTGAGACTGAGTACTCATCGAAGATTGAATAAATCATCGTTTATTATTATTTATTTTTTGCCAAAATGCTTACACGTTTTTTGAGAAATTGCATACCAGCGTCAGGCCTTCAATTTTCTGCTTATAACACATTAAAAGCCTTGTGAAGTTCGTTAATGTTATGCAAATTTAAGGTTAAATTTTAATCATAGGTTAAGTGGCACCCACTGTTAAAATTTTAAAAACTTTTGAAATGCTGATTTGATGCTTTGTTTCAATGCTTATTAAATATTTTACAGTTAAGCTTAATCGAAGCATTCGCATTGTACCTAATATGGTAATGCTTGCATTTTAAATTTATTTGAAACGCTTTAAATTTCTGAAACTAGCTGAATATTGAATATATTTGAATACATTATTGTTCTTTAATTTCAATACATGGTTGATGCCGGTAATTATTTCCAGGTTTTGCTAGTTTCCTATCTCAACTTACTGTTTTAAACATCACATGAGTTTTTCAGTCTGATTTTTTAGCGAAATGTTCCACGAAAAGTTGATCAAAGATGAAGTGCGTGCTATCGGCCGACCAATCAAGCCTCCGCCATTATGCCATCGTCTATCAACCAATAAAACCCTAACCCTTATGCCTCTAATCAACTCGCAGAAATGTGTCCAAATATTAACCCATTTCTTATCAATCAGCAAGACTGAGACAGGTTATCGGGCTTGACAGAAGAAGTAAAATTTTATCATTTTCTATCTATTTTTTGCCTTTTTGCATCTAGATACCAAACCGCAAACAATAAATGAAAATAAGCATTGTTTGAACCTTTTGTTTTTCCTAGTACGATCATGTTTTGATTTTTGCATCATCACGACTGCTTGCTTGGTGTGTTTATTTTTCTTCGAATAGCTTCCATACCCTTTCGCCATCAGCAGCCCCGAAAATTCATCAGAATCCGGTTACTATTTTACTCCATTTCATCCGCCCACCCCCATGCTCATCCTTTTTCTCTCTGTTTGCTTCCATTAAGTTGATACGCATTCGGGTGGAACTTCATTCGCCATCCATTCTTCAACATTGTCATTGCTTGCACCTTCTTTCCGTCGATTGGTTCATATAATCACAAAGACAACATATCGAGAAGATTGGCAGCTCTGTCGGAATTCAAGGGGACACGGAAGAAGATGGCTATGCTATGAGATTGGTCAGTCTCCTTGATATTGTGTCTTTGATATAATGCAAACAGACATTTGATTCGCTTATTTTCTCATTTTGTGTTTGCTCAAGATAACCGGGCGTTTTCCTCATTCCATGAAGATAGGGACCAATCTACACGGAATTTGATATTTCGGTTTTGTTTTTGTCCGTTTCGTTCCACCGTAAAACGACTTTCCCGAATCGGATACGAGTTTGTATACTCTGTCTACTGCATTTCTCTTTACCATTTCGTCGTCGCTTAGTTTAAGGATCCTACTATATCTTTTGTATTATAAATCGAATTAGGCTCACATTTAATCCTAATGGGCTGTTCATAAACCACCTAGTCAATATTTGAGAGATTTGAGATAACCCTAAAATATCAATTGTTTTTTGTTTAATTCGGAATTGTGCCTAATTGCTCTTTATGTGATTTATGGACAGCCCTAATTATGTACCCTGTATCAGTAACTCTACACCTCAACTCATCACTTTATTGTAGAGTAGCCCACTGTGCCATCACGGATCACTTGTTATGTTTGTGCCATTTATCGAAGACTGCATATCAAAAAGTATCACAATTCAGGCGAATCCAATTCGCGTTCAATAAATTTGCTTGCGACTGATCTTTTCGATGTGCAATTTTCGATTGTGTTATCCAGTTTTCGTTTGTTAACAACACTGAACGATTATGTCGATATCGTGTGAATTGTCTCTCGTTATACTAGTCTATTATTATGGCCACACATTTTCATCCCGAAGGATGCTTCTCGTGTACCGTCCCGTATCGAACTAATGCTAATTTTTCGTTTCTTCTTCGATATTTCCTATCCGATATCCGATTCGTCGAATTGTTGCTGTGCTGTTTGCTGTGTACCTGCACTACCAACCACTGCCGATGTATGTATGCAGCCAGTGCCCTCGTTGAGATGGGCGATTCGCTCAAGCAGATGGCCGATGTGAAGTACTCGCTCGATGATAATATTAAGCAGAACTTCCTCGAGCCACTGCACCAGCTGCAGACCAAGGACCTGAAGGAGGTTATGGTGAGTATTGTTATTATTGATTATTGATTATTGATTATCCCACACATTTATATCTTACTTCATCGGCCCTAATGTCCCATATCTTGAGGGTTTTAACATGACACAACAGAGAAGGGCGTCTGCCTACTAGGGCTAATGTCTCTAATGTCGGCTTAAGTGTCCCTAATATTAAGCCCACACATAAATTTCGAAGGAATGCATTTTTAGACAACGTTTCACTAGCAAGCAAAAAGATCAATTTGTATTATCTGGATGACGCATTGTTCTATGAGAAATCGAAGAACCGCAGTTTTTTGTTGATGCTGCTAATCATAATCGATAGATTACGGTCTTAATTTTCGTTGTGTTGTTTATTGAGAGCTCTTTAAGTAGTTACCATTCTATTTACAACAGATTGAGCATGAGCATGATTGACTGCCCACGGTTGCTACTCTGTTATTGCCAGACTAGCAGTAATTACACAGAGAACTAATATACGATGCGTGGGACTAGCAATCATCCTCAATGTGTAAAAATTGGTGATCTCAAACAAGGAAATACCAGCGCCGGCCGCACCCGAACACAGGTCAAGGAAGGAAGGGTAGGAATGTGTTGACGTTACACTCGCTTTAATGGAAGCCGAGAACACCTCTGCACTTCCACGAGGAATCACTGGGATATTGGGTGATAGGGTTGGGTTTGCAGCAGGGTTCGTTTTGGTAAACGATGAGCTGAATTGGTGTCCTAACGATCATATAACGCGAAGGAGCTTGGGATTGAACCCACGGTCTTCTGCTCAGTAAGCAAAAACGTTTACCACTAGGCAGACGAGCTTCTTTTTAATCATTGAGTTTCTATTATTACCATGTAGTCATGTTAACAAATAAAACGATTGACGAATCATGAATGTGGATGGGCTTAAGATTAGACTCATGATGTTCTGCTCAGTAAGCAAAAACGGTTGCTCTACAGCCACCGAACCGTACTCAAGTTGTTAAAACTATTTAAACCCGGCACCGACGACAACAATTTTTTTTTACAAAATACACGATAAACAAGCGATCTTACCATACATTTTTAATATGAAAGCGGCGATTACGACAGTGACTACGACGGCGCCTGCGACAACGACAACAGCGAATTTGAAACTTACCATTTGTCTAGGATATAACACCTTTGCCTGGCACTTGAGTTTCATGTCTGCTATCTGTCACTGTTTGCAAAAATATCTAATAGCAATTACCTTTGTTGTAATACTTCCTGCATTGCCATGGTCACCTGGGAGGAGGTTCGCGTCTAGTGCTTTCCCCAGGAACCGATCACGGCCACCAGCTAACGCCCGTCCAGTCTTGGGCGTATCCAGCGAGGTGTCCTTCAGCTTGCTCACAATCTCCGACACTGGCGAAGGACCAGCAGGCGAGCACTTTTGCAAGCCGTAAACTTGTTGATTCACGGCAACGTCGCTAATTTACCAACCGGACCGTGTTCAAACTCGCAAACGGTGACGAGACTCTCGATAGAACTACACGCCGAAAGCGTAACATCCGAACACGGTGAACCGGCCTCCCGGTAGGCAATGAAAATCACAAGCACACTTACACACCGCTGATTTCAAAAACCACCCGTGCAAAGAAACGGATTCAATAAACGTCATTCTCGCGAAAGCAAACCCGTCGTTTTCAAACGGTAAAAAAAAGGAGTTCATTGGAGGAGGAATTTCCACTGAAAAGCAACCGGGAATGCACGAATTTCACCAAACCTAACTGCGAAACACGTTCAGATGCACTTTTTATACACTTTCGGTATCAATTTCGGTCGAAAACACTTAATTTTTTGCAAAAATAGTTGTCAGCGAACCAACATCAACACCGACCGTGGCGAGCTCTTTCACGCACCTTACAGCGCGTAAATAAACTGAAATTAATAATTATCTCTCGCGATGCCACAAATTTCTGGTCCGGGAGAAAAAAATCAAACAACGCAGATAGCGACATCTCTTCTGATGCTTGCAAACATGATGAATCACGGTTTCTTTCTCGATGCTAAAATTTCCCGGAAAGCGAGATAACCACCAATCACACACGTATAACCGTCCGGGAGGCAGAACCGAAAACTATGAAAGCGAACGCACGCACAAAACAGAGAACAAACTTAAAACACAACCGTATCCGAAGGGGTTCGAAACTGCACTCTTTACCATTATATTTACAACAGATTGTTCGTAAAACGACTATTACAATACAATCGAACCCGGTAAATATAATTTCAAGCATTAATTTTTAATCGTACAGGACAAAGAAAAAAAAAACCCCTGAGTAAGATCAGTTAAAAAATTTGTTGAAGGATTTATTTCAAGATTCGATATAAAATCGCACTAAGGATTTTTTTAGGTGACGAACTCTCATTTCAGCGCCTCTTTCCTAGGCTTTCAGTATTACAATGAAGCATTTCCAGGACAAATAGCAAAACAAAAAATTGAATTTCCTACTCGAACTAATAGCATGAAACCTTGCATAATTGTTTATTATAGTCAATCGTTCACATTTGAGCAAAAATTCGGACATTTTAAGAATATGATCAATTGGTCAATTAGTCACAGAACTACAAATATGTTCAGTGTTACGATTACACAATACCAAACTTTTGAAGCACCTGCCGGAAAGTGAGATACTAGGTAAAATTGTTCGAAATAATAGTACACACCAACTTTAAATCGCTGAAAATCAGCAAAGTTTTGCTGATTTTGGACTTGATGAATGATCAGCAAACTTTTCAGCAAAATAATGCTGCTGAATCTACCAGCAATTTCAACTTCTGTCAAAATGACAACATTTTACTGAAAATCAGTAAAAATTTCAGCAATATTTTTTACCGATTTTTTTCAGCATTCCAAAAATCTGACATTTGCGAGGATTTTGCTGAAAATATCAGAAAAGGTTTTTTTTCATTATAAGCGTGATGGGTGTTCTTGAATATTTTCTTTATTATGTTAAAAGAATATTGCATGCACTTTTCCATGCTTAATTAATTTGGTGCTGTCAGTTTTCACGTCAATTTATTTGTTATGGACTGATACCTCTATCTCCATCGTATTAGATGAGGTATTAGGTAGGTCCTTGAGAGAAAATTATTCTTATCAAGCCGGGAGCGTGTTTTTTGATAGTTGTTGAGATTAACCTAGTAAACACGTAAGTTCGGCATGTATTAAAGTATATTAACAATATTCATACATGAATTACTGGGCAACTTACCATTTTAAATCACCGAAGAATTTGAGATATAAATTCGCGGCAACCTCTAGACACCCATTTTTATTTTTGATTACTTGTGACGCTAACAGTTTGACAGCTCTTCATTGATTTCCAGCAGATCACTCATGTTTTCTGTAGTATTCAGTAAAAAACAATTATTAGCTGATTTTCGGCAAAACTCATGATTTGCTGATCTTGTTCCAGTAATCCGTTTTGCTGGTTTTCAAATCTGAAATTTGGTATGTAGTTTTAATAATTTGAATTGAGCTCAATTTTGAGATTTTAAATTTTACATTTCTCAAAATTCAAAAAATTCCCACCCGATCAACAAATACACCAAATTTCCAAAAATCGCTGAAAATCAGCAAAATTTTGCTGATTTTAGACTTGATGATATATCAGCAAACTATCCAGCAAAATAATGCTGCTGATACTTCCAGCAATTTGAACTTCTGTCAAAATTGCAACACTTTACTGAATCTTCAGTGAATTTGTATTTTGTTTGCTGAAGTTGCAGCATAAGAATAGATGACAGCTTTTAACTGATTTTCCAGTAATTTTCAGCAAAATTTTACTGAATCAACAGCAAATTTATTTATTTTCGTTGTTACTGATTCTTCAGAAATCTTCGGTTTTATATTGCTCTCCCAGCAGGATTTTTGTTTTCCATTTTATCAATAATAATATTAAAACACGGTTCATAGTATAACAAAGCATATACGTATTTTATTGGTTTATTGGTTTAAAAAAATAACTGGAGCATGTTTGTTTTGCCGTCTACATTCTGCAAACGAAACCTGTATAACCATAAGGTTTTTAATTAATAAAATAGCTTAACCAAATGATTTCTTGACATACCTGCTATCTGCCGTGAATTTATGGACAACAATTAACATTTCCAGTTCAATTTTTACACGAAACTTCATACCTTTCTATAATTATAAAAAATACACATCATGTCTGGAATCGCGGGAACGAAAAAAAAAAACTTCAATGACCAACTTGAAGCTTGTTGTCAGATAGCGTAGACAGGTTTTGCGTGATCTGTCATTTAAGTGCTTGGCTTACTGATCATCAGCAAATAATCTGACATTTGCCTGTTTTACTGGATTTCGGCAATGCTAAAAATGCTAATGCTGAATTCCAGCAAAAACTTATTTTACTGAACCCATTTCAGCATTTTTTGTGCTGAAACTCAAAATTGAAATTTGGTGTGAATGTACATAATAATTAAAAATGTTTCAAATATTTGCGGTACCTACTTAAATTTTCAAACAAAAAACTGTTATGATTACGAACAATTTTATCTAGTATCTGACTTTTCGGCAGGTGCTTCAAAAAATTTGGTATTTCGTAATCGTAAAATTGAACATATTTGTAGTTCTGTGGCGAACGTTTCAGCTCAATTCATCTTAAAACAACAAAGATACATCTTTTCAAAGTTGTCAATTTTGTAAGAAAATCGGCATACACTGGCTTATATCGAACATACCGCTTTCTGATATTTTCTTATTATTTTCCCCATGATACTCTTGAAAATCATCCGCAGAACACTCTTTGGATCCAATTTGCAATGCTCTTCAAATAATTAATAATGCATGCAGTATTACCTAGAAATTTCCAAGAGATTTCTTCGGAAATTTCACTTAGAGTTCTCATCAGCATTCACTTTGTATTATCTAGAAATTCATATGGAACTTTTCTAGGGACTCTTTTCAAGTTTAAGCTCAGAACTCCCATACATTCTTTGAAATACTCCTCACAATTCCCTTAGCACTCTCCTTTGAATACTCAAAAAAAAAAAAAAAAAAAATCACCGGAACATGATTACAATTCCCTTTTGAAGTTTCTTTGGAATCATCCTTGAAATTCAATTCTCACGGAATTTTCCTCAGAATCACCTTGGAATGCTCCTCATTAAAAAATCCTTTTCAATTATTCTCAGAATTTTCAATGAATTCATTTCAGAAAGCCCTTTGAATTTTACTCCTTCCCTTGGCTACTTTCCTAAGAATTCATTTGCAGTGCAGTAACAAATTCCAGATAGGGGAAATGGATGCAATGTTGGCCTAAATGCCCCTAATTTGGGCCCATACAAAAATTCAGCAATCGACTAAATTTTCAAAAGCGACCAAAAATATCCATTAGTAACGTCCCAATGACGCGTGCATCATAAAATTTGATAAATAGCAGATTTTTAGCGATGGGGGCCCCACCTTAGATCCATAGGCCAACATTAGAGCAAATTCCCCTATTTCGGTCTCTGTTCCGCAATCTAGTGCCAATCACCGGCGGACATCGATTGCCATCCATTGACGGAAATCGAATGTGCAGGAAGGCAGCTTCCACAGCTGCGTAGGATATCGCACCCATTCAACACACATGGGCCGGGACCAACGGCTTTACTTCCCTTCCGAAGGAAGACGTGACCAGAGATGTTTATGCCTCAGAAATATCCCACCGACCTCGGCTGGGATTGAACCCAGTAACGCTTACCACTACGCCACCGGCGCCGGCTATGGACAAAATTTCAATACATCTTATTGTGTTAATTTGCAATGCTTGTTGGTATTGGTGCATTTTGAATTTGGGTGTGGAGTCAGTATCAACGGAAAAGCGTTAACTTTCACCTTAAAGCCATCGTTCAGACATTTTGAGCCGTTTGTCTGTGATTTGGGTGAAAAGTGAATATCGAGAGGAAAAAAAATCGATTGTAGCCAAGGATTTAGTTTTCTAGTAGTGTAAGATTTATGTGGAAAAGTGCATTCAACTTCAAATTCTGTGCTTTTTCCGGGAAAGTGGCTTTCCTCCGATAGAGAATATGCACGTGGGGTGTTTGATACTACTGGCTATTTCTCCCATCAGTTTATATGTGCTCGCAAGGAAATGCATTCTTGCACCTATTTTTTTCTCGGGAATTTCCCAAGAAAGTATACCAAATTTTTATATCAACACATTCTTCGCGGTATGTACAACATGATGGTATACATAAACATATGATTTTCTAAACTTTGTAGTGTAATTTTTCCAAATTTGTAAATTCGTCTCGGACATCGTAAAAAAGTACACATTTTCTTGTTCTTTTGCTACCGGATCACATGTTCGTAGGTGCACGCGTTCTTGTTTGCTAGTTCAAATTATCAGAAATTATTTCGAAGACCTTCGACTGATAGGAAAGTGAAATTGAGTTCTCCATATATTTCCTCATCATATCAAATGGATCAGAAATTCTTCTCATTTCGAAAACCTTCAAATGATCGGTAATTGAAATTAATTCCTTTGAATATTATCCCACCATATCAGGTTGATTAAGAATTCTTCCGAAATATCAGAAATCATATCGAAGACCTACAACTGATCGTAAATTGAAATCGAGTTCTGCATATATTTCCTTAGCATATCAAATTTATCCAAAATTCTTCTGAAGATCTTTGGTCAGTTAGAATGTATTTTAAAAATATAAGTGTGATCAGGAATCATGTCGAAGATCTTCGAATGATCAGAAATTGAAATTAAAACCTTTGAATATTCTCGCATCATATTAAAGTTGATCAGGAATTGTTCCGAATTATCAGAAATTATATCGCAGACTTACGACTAATAGAAAATTGAACTATTGAAGGAAACTCAAATCTTAAAACGCCTGCATCTGTCTGGTTGCTTACAACGGAAAAATTAATATTACGGGTTGAATTTTTTTTCGAAAATAAAGCTAAAATGTTGCTTAATTTTCAGAATGTTATTCCGAATTCTTTATTAGAATAATTTCTTCTTATGTTCTAAAAAAATTACAAGAAATACCCTTTTTTAGAGATCTCAACAGGTGTCCCCACTTACGACGTACAACACTCTATAATATTTAAATTTTCTTTCATTCAAGCCACTTTTCTACCACTCAGGATTTTTTTTTTTTTCATTTTCCACATCACTCAACTGAAAAGTGTTGACTGTCTACAAAGACTGGAGAGCAAACACTTATTTCATTTCGCTCCACAATCTCAAATGTCATAGCCTTTCTCATTAACCTTTGTGAGTCGTCAGTGTGCCTCTGGCGCTTGCACTTTCTGTTCTTCTTTTCAACAGCCGCTTGAATAAATGCAATAGCGAAGGCCAAGTCACATTTTTCCAGGCTTCTTTTAAAGAAACTGAACCTCATTCCTACGTTCTCCCAACTAAACATCATCTTATCTTCCCGGGAAAAAAAAAACTCCCCGAAAATAGTAACTACGGAACAAAAATGTTACCGTGACCTCCCCCCGGCCAGCCCCCATTTTATGCAGAGTTAATTAATTGTTTCCGTTTTTCTTTCTTTTCTTTAAACACCATTCAGCATCATCGCAAAAAATTGCAAGGACGACGTCTTGATTTCGACTGCAAAAAGCGACGACAAGCAAAAGGTAAGATTTTTAGTCGTTTTCTTACGTCATTTTTAGGAACTCTTGAATATTTTCCCCTCCCACTGAATCCTCTTACAATTCCGACCTCTCCGGCTTTGCACTGCCTCTGCCAAGTACGAAATCCTGCCAACTAGGGCTTTTTTTTTCTTTTTCTTGGCAATCTACTACGGTAAAGAATTTCCCTCCTTCCTAAACAAGAAAAAGCATCCAGAGAGGAAAGATCGGACCAACATTCCAACGGTTTGCTGTTGTTGTTGTTGTTGTTGTTGCAGTTGTTGATGTCGTCTGACGTGATCTTATTGGAAGGAAAATCTGCGATAACATCCTTACTTTACCGAGCGATGGAATGCTGGAACGGAACACGCTGCTTGATATTACGGAAGTTTTTCCGGCTGCCTGACTTTGGTGGCAGGGTCGAGTTTCAATGCGAACGGACACAGAACGCGGAATGGCGAATGGGAGACGTTATCTTAATTACCAAAGTATTTGTGTGCTGAATGGGGTATTTTTTTTGTTTTGGAAGCTGGTAATGGTATAAGTTATGGGTTCAATGGTGTTTGAATGTCTAGAAAGCGAGAAAGTCGGGACGGCGATTCTCGCTCTTAAAATGTATCATTTGAAGAGCACTCAAATTAGTGCTCTATAAATACATCAATTGGGTCCACAAAAACAGAATGCCATATACATTTGCTTCCAAATCAGATATTTATACACAAATGATAAAGGGCAAAGTTTATGTTTGAGCTTCGAAAAATTATTAACATCACAAGAAATACTGCGGGGCCTTCGGATAGCCTAAAATTGGTAAAGGCGTGATATACTATACCGAAGGTACTTTGTCCTGTTAAAGAAGATTTTTGGCTTGGAAATTTCTTCGACTTGAGGGCATGATTCTCAAGTAAAATTTTAACTGGGTGACAACTACTTGGGACAATCAGGAAGATCTGGAAAACTTAGAGGTAATCTGATCTTGAGTGACCCTTCGGAGGGTGGTCTCACTTTTTGAAGGGTATGAATAGCGGAACCTTACATTTATTTATTGTTGTTATGTATCATTCTTAATCCTTGTTCAATTGAATATATTGTAAGGATCGTAAACGTTGTTTAAAAGTGTTTGTAGACATATTAAAATCAAATACATGATACTCTTCTTGGAACCGTCTGCGGGTCATTGGAGCCGTATAAAGTATTGCTCGGAGTTGGTTGGATTAGTTGTCGTGACCGCAACACTCGCTCTGGGGCATAAATTCTCATACGATCCAGTGAGGCTGAACTATCAATCTCTGCGCAAAGAATCTTATCTTACAGTTTGATCCATCTTACGACGATTTGCCAGCAGCTCGATACTCAGCAATGCACAACGATGCTCATAAGGCGGTAGGTTTACTTGGCCACGCCAATGTAGACTTCGTATTTTTACGAAGTCTACACGTACAAATTTACGTTGCTCAGATTCGATCCTGGAGATCCACACAGCTTCATACGGCGACCAAACAATCGATGTAAATTCTAGTATTGATTAAACTAGAGAACAATAAAGAGCACGCAAGCAAATTGGATTATTGAAGTCTTTCGCGATTTTTAAAATAAATTCTAGTTGACGGTTGGCAGCTGAATAATGCATCTTGAACGTGAGTTGGTGATCCAGCAAAACATTCCAAGATCCTTCACGTTATCAACGTGCTCAAGTTCCGTGTAGTTTTTCAGCATAGGCTTTTTGCGCCACCGATACGAGATGATGCAACACTTTGAGGAAGCTGGAGTAGTACCAATTGGCGAATCGATTCACTAACTCTTAAAGTTGCCTGCAATCGGCTTCAAATCGTCCGCATAAATGAAAAGTTCCCCATTTGCTAAAAGGATCGTCACGTCATTGAAAAATAATACGAATAACAATGAACCAAGGTTGCTACCTTGAGGCACACCAGAGCACGGAGTAAACGGAGCGGACACTGTTGTTCTGATTTGAAGAATAAAAAACAGAAAGCTCATAAACTATACAAAAAAGAAAAAAAACTGAAACCAATTTGCGAAACTATCACAACTTATGCAACCAACTAAATACAGCCATCAACTTTGCATATGAGGATTATAACCGCAAAGTCGAAAATGAAGTCAAGTCATGTCCTAAAAACTTTTTTAATTATGTAAACACGAAATAAAAAAAAAAGTAGCAATTTTCCTTCATGAATTAATTTGGATGCAAATGTAGGTGAGAATTCTTCTGAAATTTGCAATCGCTTTACAAAGTTCTTCCAAGAAGTATACACCACTTTTTCCGAAGAAGATTGTGACCGTGATTTATTTGCATTCATTCCTGAAATTTCTAAATACATCTCTGTCAACCAACTTTCTCAACATGAAGTCCTCAATGCACTAAAAAACTTAAACGCGTCGAAAGGGTCTGGACATGACGGCATTGCACCCATATTTTTGAAAAACCTTTCTGAAGAACTTGCATTTCCTCTAGAGCGTCTTTTCAACATGTCTCTGAAAAATGGGAAATTCCCTGCAATTTGGAAATCATCTTATTTGGTACCTATTTTCAAATCAGACATTCGAAATTATCGTGGAATTGCTATTATTTCTTGCATTCCAAAACTTTTTGAATCAACCGTAAACGGCAATATTTTTCAGCAGGTGAAACATCTAATTACAAGTAAACAGCATGGCTTTCTTAAAGGTCGCTCAACTACCTTTAATCTTTAGCGCTATACACCGACTTCAGTAGACCATTTGACCGCATCGATATACCATTATTAATCCTCAAATTGTAGGAAAAGGAATGGAACCTGGAATTTTGAATTGGCTTCAATCATACCTAACACATCGTAAACAAATAGTCCGCTTTCAAAATAAACTTTCAGAACCAATTTCAGTCACCTCTGGGGTACCCCAGGGTTCTCATTTAGGCCCACTTCTTTTTATTTTGTACATAAACGACATTTCCTACATACATAAAAAAATAAAATTGCTTGTATATGCAGACGACATGAAGCTCTTTATGAAAAGAAGTAATTCTAGCGATGCAGAAGAATTCCAGAATGAAATCAATATATTCCACACCTGGTGTACTAAAAGTCTACTTCAACTGAACGTAAAAAAATGTACTGCATTTAGCATTTAGCAGAAAAATTGAAACACCGCATATTGAAATATCATTAGGCAACCAAATAGTAGAAAAAAGCAAAATTGTAAGAGATCTAGGTGTAATCCTAGACTCCAAACTAACTTTTATAGAACATTATAATACTATCATTAGTAAAGCAAACAGAATGCTAGGCTTCATCAAAAGGTTCAGTCATAATTTCGAAGCCCCTTACACTATTAAGCTATTATATACCACATATGTAAGGAAAATTCTGGAATACTGCCACCTAGTATGGAATCCATACATTTCCATACACGAAGAACGCATAGAATTTGTCCAAAAACAATTCCTTTTAAATGCTTTAGGTAAATTGAATTTGACTGCATTTCCATTATCATCTTATGAAGCGCGCTGCATGCTCATCAATATACAAACACTTAAGGAGCGCCGCCAATTTGCAATGCTTTTCTTCATCAACGACATTATTTCAATGCGCATAGATTCGGCAGAAATTCTCGCACAATTAAACTTTTACACACTTTGTCAATATCTTAGAACACGGAATTTATTTTCTGAAAAATCGTACAGAACAAACTAGGCAAAAAATAGCGCAATCAATGGAATGATGCGCCTGTATAATTTGCATTGCGGAACTATTGAAATCACTATGTCCAAGCAGCAAATAAAAACTAAGCTAAAACAGAATATAATTAATGCATAGTATGTAAGTGAACATTGTAATAATCATTGTATGTAGCCTACACTGGCTTGACGAAATGAATAGATAGATCCTATTTTAACAAAGAGTTGCCTGTTGCTTAAGTACGAACGAAGCCAATTACATACTCTGCTAGAAACGCCTAGTCGAAGGATTTAGCTTGGCAAGAAGCATTAACCTGAGCTCCATCACCCATTGTGCCGATGCAAAAAGACGTAAATTGGTATCGGTACCTTATGATAAAGGCAACAATAACAACTGTATCAAAACCGAATAGGGGAAAATGGGGGTACAGCCATCGTAAGATTAAAATACAATTAAACCATATTCATGCAAAACTTCAGCAGCAATCTAAGTCAATATTGATCTTGGGATTATTTAAACTACAGCCAACTCTCCATAACTCGATATTCTATAACTCGATATTTTCTATTACTCGATGGATTCTGCAGTCTATTCATTTTCCCATGTGTCGTACTACCTGTCGTGACGGCAGCCTTTCCGTACTTCAATGCACGTCCAATCGTCTCAACTATCGTTAACAGAACCCTCGAAATTCATTAAAAGCTTTCCGTTGATACGATGTGCGGGTCGACTTTCACGAGGTTCGAGTTCAGAGCTTTTTCTCTCTCTTTATTTCAACACGAACATAAAGCTCGATAGTATCCGTTATACGGTATTCGTTTTCCGCATATAACAGATTATCATTCAGTTTCGATCGTTTTTTTCGTTGTCGTTAGGGTTTGAATAGCGCGTTCGTTGCACGTTCAAATAAATAACATCATGTTATTCATAATATAACCTACATCTACTACATCTACTACACTACCCATAAGTCGATATTTCTACAAGTCGATGCCTGCTTTAGTCGATGATCAATGTAGTATTATTTTGATTCTAAAGGGTGTTGTCGTGGAAAATGGCACACACATAAACAGCTGTTTGACTATTTGGTTTAACTATTAAACCAAATGATTTGAATTTTTTAGTAAAAATGTAGTGGCGCCCATATTATTTTTTTATGAGAGTCTGAGCGGTAGTGCATCTCGAATAATGGTCATGGAAACAACATGCTGTCTAATAAATGCTGTACAACAATATTTAGAATCAGCGGTTATAAAACGAAATTCTTTCGTAATTGTTGTTGAAGCTTGGAACCGAACCATTGTTTTGTAAAATATTATAATTCAA